TATAATGTAATGTATAATGTAATGCATATTGTAATGTATAATGTAGTGTATAATGTAATGTAATGTAATGTAATGTATTGTGTAATGTATAATGTAATGTATAATGTAATGTATAATGTAATGTGTAATGTAATGTATAATGTAATGTGTAATGTAATGTAATGTAATGTAATGTAATGCAATGCAATGTAATGTAATGTAATGTAATGTAATGTATGTCTGTATGTACGTACGTATGTACATATGTACGTACGCACGTACATATGTACGTAGGTATGTACGTATAATATGTACGTACGTACGTACGTACGTACGTACGTATGTATGTATGTGTATAGATATGCGAATGTACCTGCATGAATATGTACGTAATTATGTGTGTGGGTATATACATGCATATGTATATGCACGTGTGTGTGTGTGCGCGTCAGCATGTGGTATAGGTATGTATGCATGTATGTATGTATGAATGTATGTATGTATGTATGTATTTATGTAAGGCTCAGCAGCAGGGTGCTTCCTTTTCGGCTGGGTCTGGTGTGTTTCTGGGGCTTTGGGGCTACTTTCTTGGGCTTTGCCGGATTGCGGGTTGGCTGCCCTTGGGCTTTCGGCTTTGGGGTCCTCTTTTGGGACTTCGTTCAGGCTTTCTTTGGCTTCTGGTTGTGAGTGCCCAGCAGCCATGGCCACCAAAGCGGACAAGGATCCCATTGCCAGGGTCTGCGACTATACTTCAGTGCGAGCCGTCCGAGCAAGGTCCGGGGTACTGCAAGGGATACAGGCAGGACTTCTCTGGATTTCTCTGGGCCGTGTGCTGCTTTGGCTCATGGTGCTTCTATGCAGGCTTGTCCAACACACAGAAGCCAACCACTCATGGATGGTTCATCTGCAGCACAACCATACCACCGCACATACTGCCTCGGGTTCGTGTCCGGATACACATGGCGCCGGCAGACACAGCTTCGCAGCCGAACAGGTAAGCTGCTCCTCCTCCAATCAGCCCTGGTCGATTGCCATGTGCACCTCTCAGGCAGCTGCCGGAGACTAGCCGCATTTTGCAACCCATCAGGTGTGAAATTTGCTCGACATACCTTTGTGTATTGCACATGCTCTGGCAGGCTGAAGCTGCAGCCCATGGCCCGGACGTTCTTCCGACCCCAAAATCAGTTGGAAAACATGTCGCCGGCCGAGCCACCTGACTCGTCTGCAGTGCCCTCCCTGGCACTGGAGGATACCTGAACCACCACTACTGGCCCAGGAGTTTCAGTGGCAATCTGCACCTGTCCTTGGCTTCTCCCTCCATGCAGGTCCACCTGTGCCGTCACCGGCAGCGGCCACCCCGAGAGCGAGGCCCAAGAACGAGGTGCACACCGCACACGTTTCGGTGACGGCTGGCACGCCTGGCTCACCTATGGGAGCCCCGATTCTGCCATGGCCGCCTGTTCCGTCTCCAACGGGATTGGCACCGGGGCTTCTGCGTGTGCTCGTGCCCCCGCCTTCTTCGGGCTCCTGGCGATACAGCATCACGATCGTGGCGGAGCCGGTCCGACCCAAGACTTCAAAAACGCATCATGGCTAGCAATTTGAGCTGTACTTGTGCATGGCGAGATGGGGCAGCATACTCTTCCTCTCCCTGCACAGATTCGGCTTTGTCGCTGTTTACAGTGTGCTGCACGTCCAAGATTCGGGCGCCCTTGTATGCATGCTTGTAATGGTATCCATCTGCAGCCCTCACTTCGGTCTTTGCACATGTGTGAGCCACCTTCGCTGCTCTGTCCTGCTCAGGTCCTCTGGAACCATTGGACTGGCCTGGTTCCCAGCCTGTCACCTGACTAACGCTGCCTGCGCTTCCACAGTCTGTGCTGCCTCGTCTCCATCATGGCTGCGGAGCGTGACAATGACGATGGCTTGTGTCATCGATGTCCTTCCTGACCTTGGTATGACCGTTAGTGGTTAGTGATGCCAAAACTGTTATTTATCATTGATGGGCTTCGTGGACGACAAGAGTCTAGGGAGTCTAGGCTCCTTAAACCCCGTCTTGTCAGACAAGCCACCAACCTGTTTGCGAGTCGCCTGCCAACAAGGATTCCTCGATATCCCTTTTCGCAAGCAGCGCAGGTACCTGGGTATCGTGCTCAGTTATGAATGTTTTGAAAAGCTTTCATTTCAGGCACGTCTCAAGCAATGCTGGGCCAACTTCAGCCGGCTCTTCTCGTCTTCCTGTGTTTTTTCAGCCGTCCGTTACGGGCTCACAAGCCTGCCTGCTCGAGGCCAGGAACTCCTGCATCAGGTTGTTGCCAAGCAAATCTGCTTGGTCCGTAAATTTCCCAGCTGGATTACCAATTAATTACCCATGAAACCACGCAGGACCGATATGCCAGGTACCAAAGCTGCATCCACTTCGGGTCACCGTGTTCCGTCTGCACCCTGTCTGCTGGAGGTTACACAGGTTGTTCGTTTCCAAATTCCAAACCTCATTGCCTTCCGCACCCATTGTACTCGCACTCATAAGACTCTGTCTCATCGTTGCCACAGTCCACTGTGGCTGATTCGCCTCCCCCTTCCCCTCTGCCACCCAGTCAGCAGGTCCTAAGAGCCCAAGTCATGCAGCTTGCTCGGGATGGTGTGCCAAGCTGCGCTCTGGGCCTTCGCAAATTTGCGGCGTCTCGACGCCTGTTTCCGACACCCGGGCCCCTACTGCAGGTTCTGCTCGAGGCAGCAGCTGTCACTAACATCCCCCTGATCAAGCACCCCTCAATCCGTGCATTGGCTATAGGATGAATGGAGGCCCTGGCTCTTCACCTTCGTAGGCTTCACATGCAACAGGCCCTTCGCCACTGCCTGCTGTGTCATCAGTGGTTCACTCGTGCTCAACATATATTCAAACTCGTGCTGACTGGCTTTTGGCGCGTGCAGCTTCGCCGTGTAGTTGGTGCGGTGCCAAAGCCGCCTACAAGTCCCAGCACGCCAGTGCCTGCCCGGTCGTCCAACAGACCACTACTGATCACTACTGTCCGACTCCTCGTTCATCCCCGGTTCCATCCAGCATCCCGAAGGCTCTTAAGGATCTCCAGATGCAGGACGCGGAGGCAGAGATGGGTCTCCTTCAGGCCTGGGGAACGGAGCCGACAAAGATGCAATCGGAGGCCCTGTCCAGCAAGCGTCGCGAGATGGAGTTGGACCAGACCGGGGAGCAGGGCGGCAAAGGGGAGAAGGACAAGGATCCTGCGAAATGGAGGCGACCGGCCTCCAAGGGGGGAGCCCAATCTTCCAATGCACCTCATCCTCGCCGGCGCTTCCAGCCGAAGCGCAGCTCGGAGAAGAGCCTGGAGGGTTTGTGCTGGATGATGGGCAAAATCCTCCTGCAACACGAGGGTCAGATGGGCATCGAGCGGAGCGAACACATTTTGATCATGTTGTTCAGTCGGGATGGCACTGACGGCACAGTTCATCATACAGTCCCAGCAGAGGAGTTGGGTCTGTCTCTTCGGGCCTGTCTCTTCAGCACCCTCCTGGAAGAACTTCTACTTTCGCAGGTTTCTCATTCCTGAGCTCCTCTTTGGAGGCTGGCAGTGTCGACTGCATGACCGTGCTCAGGATGCCAGTGATGCCCTCGTTTGTGAGGTCCGTGATCATTGGGAGACATGGCCACTGGATCTTGCCGTGCCCAGCTTCTGTGTCATGCCCAGGGTCGTTTCACCATACAACGCATGCTGAACTTCTGGTACGCTCTGGCTTTCACGCCCCTGAGTCAGGCTGCGCTTTTGCTTGCGACTTGAATCGCTTCAGCCTGAGGGATCACTTCCCGATTAAAGATGAGAGGCACGTTTTACCCGACCTTCGCATTTCTGTTCAGTGCTTCTGTCATGGGGTTGACCAGTCTGCCGCGGCTACCCATACCAGACCATGTCACTACTACTTCCGTGCTTTGCTCATCCACAAGGGTGTGAGCCCCAAATCAGGGCACTATACAGCCTTCCTCTACTCCACCAGCTGGAATCTCCGCATCTTTATTGCGACGATGCAAAAAGCCCTGAGCCTCACTCCAGTCTGCCCGACAGGATTCTTCAGGAGGGCTATGTGTACTTCTACCAGCGATACGCAAGTGCCATTGCAGCCTCGCGATGGGGCATTCGTGCCAGGCGATGCTGACGATATCCACCTCCCAGGTGGTGCCGATTGCACTTGTAGCATTGTAGCATGGTTCTGGATCTGTGTTAGACACGGAGCTCACCAAGAGCCGGACCAGTATGTATGTATGTATGTCTGTCTGTCTGTCTGATCCGGTCTGATCCGGTCTGATCCGGTCTGATCCGGTCTGATCCGGTCTGATCCGGTCTGATCCGGTCTCATCCGGTCTGATCCGGTCTGATCTGGTCTGATCTGGTCTGATCTGGTCTGATCTGGTCTGACCTGGTCTGACCTGGTCTGATCTGGTCTGATCTGGTCTGATCTGGTCTGGTCTGGTCTGATCTGATCTGATCTGGTCTGGTCTGTCTGTCTGTCTGTATGCATGCATGCATGTATGCATGTATGTATGTATGTGTGTGTATATAAGCGTTGGTATTGGTAGCGGTATCGGTATAGGTGTGAGTACATAGATCTATGGGTATATCATACGGTATATATGAATATATGAATGGGCACATGTATGTGTATGTGTATGTATGTGTTCATAATTAGAGCTGTCCAATCACCGCGAAGGGTCTCAAGGCCTCCATGATTTCTGACCGGTGCAAATCGCAACATACCGTAGCAGCATAGATACCCAGACAGGCAGACAGACGGGCACTCATTCATGCGCGGAGTAGGCCTACGCAACTACGCGATTATTTATAAGCTTTCTGCAGCGGGCATTGTGAGGGGAAAGGTGTATGCAACGTTATAGTCGAAGCCGGGTCGCCGAATACAAGCCACAACAATCACAGTGCGATTTCACGAGATGGGGGTGGGGAGGGACTGGGGCCACACGTTCAGCCTCTGCCCGCTGCATCCCAAGCCTTTAGCTTAAAAGCAGGCTGGGCGTGCACGCGCACAGACAGAAAGTCTTGAGATCTTTGGCTCCTCGAAAGGGCTCAGACTTTGTCTCCTTGTTGCACAGCCACATTCGTTGTTGGTTCATGTTCGCGCGCCCGTCAATCGCAGCAACGGCCACAGCCATAATCAAGCCTGAATTCACGACAGCAGCCGCAGCAGCCAAATCCCTTGGGAGGACCTGGTCGAAGCCTTGGTGAATTGCCAGGGCAAGGCTCGAAGTGGCTTTGTGAAACTTGTTGCCACAGCTCTTGGAGGGGCTGGCTAGTGGTGTGGTTGAGTCGCGGGGAATCCCTGTGGGGTTGACTTATGCAAAGTATGGCCAGCGCGTGACTGGAGCACGAGCCGCCCTGCCAGAAGTACATACTGGTATTCCAAAATGTGCTGCGCTAGCCCGTCAGGTCGCAAACAAGCTTCTCGTGCATGCTGAAAAAGAGCGAATGAAAGAGGGCACATTTCGCTGCACGTCCTTCTGCTGCAGCTCATGTAGGAAGAACACACCAAGGGCGGATGGGGGAACGGCAGATCGCCTGCACAATTGAAAAAAAAAATATATATATATACTGAAACTGTAAGTATAAGCTTTTCTAGCTATCTACGTGTGGCCAGGTCGAGTTGGACATCGAGCGCCCGACGGCCGATTCCTGAGCATGCGTTTGTTCCTGGATGTGGCCATTTGCTGCTTCAAGGGAGTAGTTGGGCCCGCCGTGGAATTGGAGATTAATGGCTGATGTATAAGTGGCTACATCAAAGGCGTCAGGCCAGTGCGAAAGCTTGAAGTGAAGTTGCCAAGGCGATCGAGGTGGAGGTCACGCGGAGGGGGCGGAAGCCGCTCAGACAGACATAATTTTGGAGCTCGAACAAGAGTTCTTCTGACTGTCCCACAAGGGTTTTGTCGGATGCGGATGAGGCTGGGTCTGATGGTGGCGCCCAGCAAGCTGAATCTGGGTTTGGTGGTTCGAGGCGCGTGGTGTGCTCACTGCCACAGGACCTCGGGCTGTGAGTGGTGCAGTGAGCTGCAGGTATGCTTGTGAGGTCGCTTGGGTAGCGATCCGTAGCCGGGCAGTAAGTCCGGTGAGTTCCACGGTGCACCAGAGGATTGTTTGGAAGGTGCGGTGTCGCCGTCGACTGGTCTTGTTATCTGTACGACCAGATCTGAAGCCGCTGAACCCTGTCTTGCTGGAGGCATCGAAGATTCCGGAGCTATTGCGACGCTTGGCGCAAACCCCTGTAGGATGGGTGACACACGTTCTGTCTGTATACTGGCACATGGCATGTTGCACCTTAACGTGCAAGCACGGTGAGGCCTTCTTGAGACCGTAAGCTGATCTTCTGGGCCCGTCGACTTAATCCAAGCCTCTGTTCTTTGCTATGTCTGAGGGCGATTTAAAATGCCAAGGTCCCGTGAGTCAGCCAGTTTGGGACAACTCCTCCCCCCCAAACCTCCAGTGACAGTTGCTGTCGAATTCTGACTCAGGAGGCAAACTCGGACAGATGGCGTGGACTACGTGAAGGCACATGTCGGGGTTTCGCTGCTGCAGTTTCCTGCAGTCAAACAGGGAGAAACTGTAGCTTGCGTTGCACAAACGCCCAAAGTTTTCAGCTATTCTTATAATAGTTCTGCATTTATCAGAAGATCAAAGTTGAGCGACCTGCGTGAAGACGTTCTCATGTTGTCTTACGTCCTTGGAAGCTACAGGTGTGTCCTGCGGCGCAAGGCCGGGATCTGTTAATTAGGAAGGTGGACACTTTACAGGGACTGGTTTACACTGACTCCTTTACATCGTACGTGGACGTTTATTTGCACGATGTTCAGTCTTCGTTTGCCAACATAGCCACAGCTGGCTCAATTTTGGATACTGTGAAACTCTTTGGCAACCTGTGGCTGTGCTGGCCATTTAAGAACTGATTGTAAACACAGTTGGCAGAGGACCTGACATCCCCAACATGCGGGCCAGGCAAGCGATCGCTTGGTTGCCATCGATGGACACTTCCTCACACCTTCTGCTCTTGCTGCTCGGACATTGCATGGGATGCGCATCGGGAAGTTGCTTGTCTGTAGGTCTCCTGCCTCTGCTTTGTTTGCAGATAGTGATATCACGAAGCTGTGCTGGCCTCCGCACAATTGAACAAGCATTTGCTGTTCTGCTTTGCTTTCGATGTGAAATGTAATTAATGCACCGTTTTCTGTTGTTTACACGCACACACACACACACACTCTCTCTCTCTCTCTCTGTGGCTGTGTGTGCGTGTGTGTGTGTGTGTGCATATACATAAGCATATGCGCACACACACGGACAAACTGATGTATGTATGCATATATATATATATATATTTATTTATTTGTTTATTTATTTATATGTATATATGATGCAGGGCTGC